GTTAAATTTAACCTAGCGCAGCTAATAGCCTATTAGTAACCTTAGTAACTAGCACTAACTCTCTAAGACAACTATACGCAGGCTTTCTAGCTACCTAAGCTTAACATTCTACTCTAAGATAAGCTGCTTAGGCTCTATGCCTTCTAGTCTTCTCTAGAAAAAGTACCTACTAATATAAAGGTAGATAACTTAGTTAATAAGATACTTAACCTAAAGATTAATTATACTAGCTTAAAGATAGAACTATAGAAGATCTAGTAGACCTACTATAAAACTAAACTTATAAATAACTCTAATATACGCAGCAAAGTAGACTATTAAGCTAATAAACGCGTAAACTACCTAAGAGCGTACCTACTCTAAGGCTAGAGGTAATTCTAGCTAAATAACTAGTATTAACCTTAGTAGTAGTAGTAATATAGTAGTTACTAATAGAACACTAGTTAGACTTTCTACAATAACTTCTAAGGCTTTTAGAATCTAGAAACTAGATATAATTAAGGCACTATAAATAGATAGGCTCTTAGAGTAACTATAAATTATTAGATATATAATAAGAGTAACTATTATAAGTAGAACTACCTAACTCTTTAAGCGTATATAGATAAGAGCTAGCTTTATATAGATAAATAGAATATACTTTAGTAGAGTACGCTAGAGAACCTCTAGAGTTGTATTAATAACCTAGGCTAGAGACTATATGTAAGGGTCTTATACACGTTAATAATAGAGGTATATAGAATAATAATGTTATTGTAGTAGAGAGCTTTAAGTAGAAGCTGTTAGAGGTAAATATATATAGTAGAGGCATTAGGCTAACGTTAGCCTAGTAGAGCGTAAGGCCTAAAACTATTATACGTTTTCTCTCTAAACGCGCTTAAAGTTCTAACTAAGCAGCGATAGTAAGTATATAGAAAATAGAAATAGAGGCCTTTCTTAATAAGAAGACCTAAAGAGGTTAAAGGTTACTTCTATTCTAACGCGCTATTAGCGGCGTTAGTGTCTAGAGTGTCTAAGGCGTTCTACAATCTAGCTGCCTACTAGAGTGCTATAGAGAACGCTATACTAGCTAAGGCTAATAGGTAGTAAGCGGAGTAGTCTAGATAGACTACCTCGAGGCTACTAACAACTGCGGAGGTTAAAGTTAGGCAGAGACGTGCGTTGTGATTACCTTAATAGGCTAGAGTAACGTAGTTAAGTAAGTCTGTAAATAACTAGCTAGTTCTTTCTAAGTACACAAAGTCTAGTAGCTAGAGCAGAGTAACAGCGAGCTTCTTGTTGTTATTGTAGTTATAGAATGTGTTGTGTAGTTCTAGTTTACCTAGGTTATAAGTGTAGTAGTTCTAGACTAATTTCTTAGATCTACGCATGTTAAAGTAAGGCTGCTACAGCTCTAACTAGTTATCTCTAACCTACACAACTTTGTATTAAAGTAGACTGCAATAGCCTATATAGAGATTAACTATATTGTAGCAAATACAAGAGTTAATAACCTAGAAGACAACGTATTTTGTAACACTATTGTTAGCGAGGTAGACTTTAGAAGAGGTAACGTTGCCTAGGCGTAGCTAGCCTAGAAGCGCGTTATTGTTATAGAGCTATAACAACTAAGAGTAGAACGCTAGAAATACTACTTTAAGTTGTAGAGAGAGATCTAATTTATAAGCTATGTTATTAATTACTTAGGTAATTTAATATAGTTCTATATTCTTATGCTCTAGAGATCTAACTAGACGCTCTGTTTAGATGTAATAGCTGCTAAGCATTACCTACTTACCTAGTGCGAAACGTAGAGCTAGCGCTTAATTCGCATCTGCGAACTTCTTTATCTTATTCTAAGACTATAGTATCTGTTGTCGCAGAAAGGTGTAGGTTATATTAATATAGTTAGCGAGAGCGTTAGCGTTGCGTTATTATTAGGCGATAGAGAGAGAGTTGTTATTAAGCAGGCGAAGACTGTGTGTAGGCTCTAGGCCTAATTAGAGCTAGCGCTCTTTTGTAGTAAGAAACAGAGATAAGCCTGTAGCTATACTTATAGCTAAGTTAGCTTTAAATTCTACTAATAGTAGTAACTAGACCTAATTATTCTGTAGGTAATTAATATATGCGCGTAAGTACTGCTTTAGGTCTACGTTTGTATTCTCTGTCTAACTATCTATCTCTAGGTAGTGCGTAGTAGAGAGCTTTAGCTAGGTTTCTATACGCTTGTATAGATAAGACTAGAAATATAACGTAAACTAACGTTCTCTATCTAAGATAATAGTGCGTAGGTAACTCTTCTTCTTCTAGATGTACTCTATAAACTTGTCTACTATAGAGAGTACTTCTATGTTTTCTATAGTAATAAACTTCTTTATCTTTAAGAGATAGTTAATAACAACTATAATGTACTAATAAGAATAGCTACACTAGCTTAAGGCAGGCAGAGGCGTAATAAAGTTAATTAATATATTATTCTAGTAGTGTATAGGCACAGGCAAGAGGTAAAGCAGCCTGTGTTTTGTAGTGTAGTTAACCTTAGACTATTAGTAGGTAAGGCAACTATTAGTAAACTAGGCGATAGTGTTAGTTATACTCTGCTAGTAATACTATTAACTTACTTACTAATAGGTTGTAGTTTAACTGCTATAGCCTCTAGGCAAGCTGTTGTAGAAGTGTTGTACAATTCTAGTGCGTAATCTTTTGCTAAAGAGCGTTACTAGTTGCCTATTTCTAATAAAGAGCTTGCTATTGTCGCTAGCCTTAAGGTTAGCTAGCTCTATTTATATTCTCTCTGCAATAAGGTAATAAGAGATACAACGCTTGTTAGACGCGAGCGCAGCTTTAATGTTCTAGAGCCTTAGGTTACTAAGGTAGAGCTTATAGACTACTTTATCTAGAGAGCAGGCGTTAGTGTTAGCTAAGTTGTTGTAAGAATCTAGAGTTCTCTGTAGAGAGAACTTAGCTATCTCTAGAAGTAGTGTTGTGCTTAGAGCAGAACTACCTTTACCTATCTCTTGTAAGAGAGTAAGTAGAGAGCTTATGTTGCACTTATTATAACCTATGTAGAGGCCTGCTAGCTAAACTGCGGCGTAACTACTACTAGCAGAGTTATAGTGTCTAGAATTCTAGCAGTCTTTGCCTAGAATAGTTTGGTATTAGTGCTGTACTTAGTTATTTATAATCTTATTAGGTAGATCTTCTGTACAACAAGTAAGGCTGTTAGGTTTAGTACCTTGCTTGCCTAGTTAATACGTAATACAGAAGTTAAATTTCTCTATAAACTTAGCCTACCTAGCCTAGTAGTAGTTTAGGTTTTGCTTTATTTAAAAGTATTTAAGACTATAGTAATCTATAAGAATATTAACATGTTTAGAAACGCTAGCGAGCTTAGAGCGCTACTCTTTAAACGCTCTAATAATAGCGAGAAGTTTCTTATTATAGATCTTATAGTTATATTCTATAGGTATTATCTTTTTAGATAAGTACGCTATAGAGCGTATAGTACTATTAACCTGTACCTAGAAGAGTATAGTAGTATACACGTAGTTAGATACATTAGTCTCTATAATGTATTTAAGATCTAGGTTAAAGTAGGTAAGAACAACGTTGCTATAGAATGCCTTCTTAAGAGCCTTAAACGCAGTCTTAGCTTCTCTAGTTATCTTAAAAAGCTTAGAGTCTTTATAGGTAAGATAGGTTAAGAGTTTAGCTATATTAGAAAACCTGTAGATAAAGCGTCTATAGAAGTTAGCAAACCTAAAGAACGCCTAGACGTTCTTAAGAGATTAGAGCAACTTCTAGTCTTAAATAGTAGTAACCTTCTCTAAGTCTATCTTAATATCTTTACCTATTATAATAAGTTCTAAGAATTTAACTTTAGTCTTTATAAACTTAGACTTAAGAATGTCTATAGGCAATCTAGCCTTAGCTAAACAACTAACTACTTAAATAAGATAGTCTTTGTGCTAAGTAAGTATTTTACTAAAGATAATAACGTTGTTAAGATACGCTATGCAGAATTTATCTAGATACTTATGTAATACATTGTTAATGTAGGCCTAAAACGTACTAAGGCTGTTATACATGCTAAAGAGCATAATAGTATACTAATAGAGACTATAGAGTGTAATAAAAGTAGATAGATGCTTATAGTTGTCTTAAATGCGTATTTTATTAAACGCTGCGATAACGTTGACCTTAGAGAAATGCTAGGCTTTTAATAGTTTAGCTAACATATCTCTTATTAAGAGAGAGGCGTTCTAGTTCTTAATAGTGTAGGTATTAAGTTCTTAATAGTTAACGTAAATACGTATACCTTCTCTAGGCTTATAAACTACTAGAAGAGAGGCTGCCTATGCAGACGTGCTTTGCTTAACGTATTCTTTCTTTATTATGTTATCTATATACAGCTTTACAGCTCTTGCCTTATTGTAAGATATAGGCTGCAGACGCTGCGAGGAGAGCTTTAGAGGCTAGCTAGTGTTGTCTAGCTTAAGGTCTATGTTGTAATTAAGCTTTTCTTAATACTCTAGTAACTCGTTAGCTTTCTTTAGATTAAAGCTATAGTACAGAGAGTGCAAGACCTTTAGTAGCTATTTTAGGATGTTTTTCTTAGACATATAGAGCCTCTCTATCTTGTCTTAGAACTTGTTATAATTCTTAGGCAAGACCTTAGCGCTAGTAGCGCAGAGGAGTACTGTATTCTTCTACTTGTTGTTAGACAAATTAGCTAGCTAATACACTTTCTTGTAGGAAGTAATGCTAATGTTCTAATTCTAATAGATAGTAGAAGCGGCGGCGCGACTAGAGATAAACGCGACATCTATTAGAGGAGGTGCCTTTAGATAACGTGCGACTTTGCGACACAGGTCTAGAGTCTTTAGCAATAGTACCTTGCGATGCCGGCTGCTTTAAGTGTAGACTAGTTTATAGTTGTGAATGTAGCTGCTTAAGTAATGGTCTGACTGTAGAGTTAACGACATGTTCTTCTAGTTTATAGTAGGTTTATGCGTCTGGAACTAAGGCGTGCCTAGAATTATCTGCACACCGGAGAGCTTAGTGACGTATGCTAGGACGTCTTTGGTATGACTGCTGAATTTGACGGTCACTTGAGCTATATGAGTGACGCCGGCGACCTCCGAACCGTCTGCCAGTTCGAGTGTCGCGGGCCGGGAGAGAGGGATAGTTTCGTATTTGTGTGCGCGGGCATGAGAAGAGTCGATAAACAGAGAAGCACAACCAGTGTCACCCATGATTTCAGAGTGTTGCGGGGGAGAAGAGCAGTTCGACGACGATATGATTCCTTTGAAGACTAATTGCTGACCCACAAGGGGCTGGTACATGTCACCGCGTATGGCGGCGGCAGCAATGGTCGAGACAGTGATACGTGATCCGGCCAGACTCTGCTCGAGGGTCTTGACCCGATCGGCGATCGCTTGAAGGGTGGGATCAGGATCATCGTCGTCGGCTTTGCTGACTTCTACATAAGGAGACGGGGCTGGAGCTGTCGAGGTAGAGGAACAGTCAGAATCTGACTCCTCACCGTCGTCATCATCCGTTACATACGGTGAAGGAGGTGGTCGGATGGGGGCATTAGGTGCTGGTGTAGGTGCTGGTGTAGGTGCTGGTGTAGGTGCTGGTGTTCTCATGGGGGGAGGCTTCTCATGCCTGGGAGGTCCCTGGGGGCGACTATCGCCAGGGACATCTAGTTTTCCGAAGAGACGGAGTTGTCGACGGCGTTGACGCCGACCGCAGCACCGGGGGTGCGCTTGGGACGTACTGGATCGCCGACTGGTACTCCGTTGTTGGCGACGGCCTTTTCAAGGGCATCCTGGAGGTCCGGATCGGTGCTGAACGCGGCGGGGGACTGACCAGAGCAGTAACCACCTTGAGCTTTGTAGCTGTGGTTCTTCCTGAGGCAGTTGTAGCAGCGGTTCAAGTGACGCAGGACCTTGATCTGAATCTCCGAGCGACCGCGAGGGCCAGAGCTGCCGCTGTTACCTCGGTCGCCGGTGGTGGTGGCAGTGGAAGCCTTCTTGCCGCCGCTGCCGCCGTTGTTGTTGTTGTTGCCCCCCCTGCCGCCGATGTTATTGGAGGGACGATGGGGAGTGGCTTGTTCGAGAAGGCGAAGGGTCTGGCAGAACTCCACGAAGGAGAGCTTGTCGTCGATGACTTTCATAGCGGTCATGTCTCGCCACCACGCTGGGAGACGGTTGCGCATGAACTGAATCTTGACCGAATCTGTCCATCCCAGTGGAGCTACACCGACGTTGAAACGGGCGATGTACTCGCTCATCGTCTCACCCGTCTTCATGTGTGATTTGTTGCTCTCGTACCAGTGCAAAGCGGTGACGTTGCCGTTGAGGGTTCGGTACACCGAGTCGAGGATGATCCAGATGTCGTCGGAATGCGAGAACTCCTGGCCAGGGATGATGAATCCCTGCTGGATGTTTCCGAATGCCACGCCCTTGGTCTTCTGACGCAGGTAGTTCACCTTCTTAGTCTCGGAAGCGAACTCATGCTTGTAGTGGTCGAACCAGTCAGTGATGTCCATCTTCCATTTGACGTAGTCGGCCTCAGTGGTGGATTCGCCAGAAAAGACATCGGGCTCGTGCTTCTTCGAACGAGGATGGCGACGGTCGTAGCCACCTTCCTCTGCCTCAGTGCCTGAGGCGGGGGAGACGCTGCGGCGGCGACGCTCACGACGTCCCAACGGGCGCGCGGAGCGGGGAGAGTCTGACTCGTCGTCATCGGAGGCGTCTGAGTCGTCCGGAGGTGTAGTTCCTGTCCGCGCGCGGCGGGACACTCGGTTCTTACGGGCCCCGTCCTCGGCGGCCTTGAGGCGAACCTGAAGGTCAGTGATGCTAGTGTTCAGCGCCCGGGCGGCGCGCTGAGCGTCTTTCTTAGCAGCGGCGTGTGCGGCGTACTCTTGGTGATACCTGTCCTTGTAGGTTGCCTTGCGGGTGGTCATCTCGCGGAGGCTCGCGGTTACTCGCTGGAGATCCTGGTGATCGACGTGAACGGAGCCTTGGACGTCACGGAGCTGTTCGCCCATTTGAGCGACACGACGGTCGGACTCAGAGAGCTGGTCTTGTAGCTGCGCGACACGTTTGGCGGACTCGTCGAGGTCGCCCTTGTAGCCTTCGCTCTCGTCCTGGAGGTCTTGGACCCTGGCGAGCAGAGTTTTCACCTGCGCGACCTGCTCTGCATGGCGATCGCTGAGGTAGTCGGAGCGGGCGCGCTCGTTGCCAATGTCCGCCCACATGGAACGCAGTTGTCCCATCATGTTGGTGAGGATTGATAGCAAGTCGAGGTCGACGCCCATACCCTCTAGGTCGTCTAGCTTGAGGACCTTGTCGCGTCGGGACGGCTTTCCGTCGGCGTCGGTCTCCCATAACTCGAATGTAGTGGCGTCGTCCTTCTGAGGGATGACGAAGGTCTTGGAGGGTTGACGCTCGAAGTACAGACGTTCAGGCAGCGTTGTCGTGGCGGCGGGCGAAGCGTCGGCGGCGGGCGAGGTGTCGCGGGACTTCCGCTGAGGGCTGTGCCAAGCGCCCTCCATGTCTGAGTCATCGTCGATGGCGGTAGCCCTTCGTGACGGCCGACGCTGCGCGCTCATGGAGGGATAACGGATGTTGTCTGGGTTGCCGACGGGGTCCTTAGGATCGCTGAAGGCGACCGTCTTCTTGCCCCGGCGGGTGGTAATGGTAGTGGGGAACTCGCTGTCATCGTGTGAATCAGAGAGTTCGTCGGGGAAGGTGTCGATGAACTGGGAGCCGTCGGCGTCGCCGTCGAGGTCCAGGTTGAGTGAAACTTCTTCGCCGTAAGACACGAAGCGACCAGGCACTCGCATGTCTTGTTGGCGGAGATCTTGGGTGCCTAGCGATCGTTGAAGACCGCCGCTGGGGGTACGTAGGGCGGAGGGCAATAGTGTTTGAGGGCGCGCCTGAGGCTGGGACTGCGACGGCTGGGATGGCGCTGTCGCGAACGAGGACGCTCCGCCTATGGTGTGGGAGGATTGTCCGGACGCCTGGGATTCAAATCCTTTGGCGGGGCTGGCCTTGGCGCGGTTCATGGTGGCGGCGGTGTCGCGCGCGTAACGGGGGACGGGTACCACGGAGTACGGGTTACCCGCGGGCTTGGGCTCGACACTCTCGGTCTCGGGTGTATCGTGGCGGTGGACGATCTCAGTAGTGTCGTCGGGGATCTCGGGATGTGGGGAACCAGGACGCTCGATGGAGTCCATGGTGATCGCCGGGGCTACTCTCGTGAGTCGCGCCGGTTGGGCAAGTGTACAGTGTTGACTGCAATAACGTGTAAGGGTCTCACACACGTCAATAATAGGGGTATATGGAATAACAATGTTATTGCAGTAGAGAGCTTCGAGTAGAAGCTGTCAGGGGTAAATATACATGGTGGGGGCGTCGGGCCGACGTCGGCCCGGCGGGGCGCAAGGCCCGGAACCGTCACACTATAGGCTAAGAGTATTTTAGCTAAGATTAAGCAACAATTTCTAAAGAAGAACATTAACTCTCTTATAGTTAACGCCTAGTTTAGTAACCTAAAGGCTCTAATTAGTGTAGAGAACAACGCTATTTTAGTTTAGCTTATACTAGACTCTACTAGAAGCCTCTAAGTAGATAACGTAGAATAATTCTAGAAGCTTTTAAGTATCTTTACTAAAGACAAATTAGACTACTACTTGCGTCTAGCGAACCTAAATTAATGTAATAATACTATTATAGCTACAACTATTTCTAGAGCATTCTTAGAACTTAAGAAGGTAGTATCTTATAATTCTTCTAAGGTTTAGAAGAAGATAATACTACAAAGACCTAGTAATAATTATATCTCTTATCTCTAAGGTTATAAAAATAGAATAGAACACTTTTTAAGCTATTAGGCGCTAAATAAGAAGAGAGTTATTTAATTTAGTAAAGAAGACAATCTTATATAACTAGATAATAGAGTATCTAGAACACTATAAAGATAATTAGAACTAAAGCCTAAAACAACTAATAAGTAACTAAGAAAGCGTAAGATTGTTAATAAGCTTAAGCCTAATATACAGGCTATAATCTATAGTATTCTAGGCACTTTAATCTCTCTTTAGATTAGTACTCTTCTTAGTAATATACCTAAAGTCTGCAAGACGCTATTTAACTCTAACTATATAAATAAGAAGCTAGATAAGTTTAAAGTTAATATTATTAAGACGTTAAGGTAATAGGCTAGATAAGAGAAGCTGCAAGAAGAGAAAGAAGAATAGAAGTTTAATAAGCTCTTAGGCGCTATAGTTAATATAATTACTCTTAGTACTCTCTCTAACTACGTACTAGTAGAAGCAGAAGCTAGTAGAGTAGTTAACTACTACAGCCTAAAGGCAGAGCACTAGACTAACTAGAAGATTAGCTATATATAATAGCACATTATTATAGATTAAGGCTAAGAGTATAACTCTAAAGACGTAGATTATAACTACTTAAAAGATAATTAAGCGTATAACTAACTAATAGGTATTAAGCACTTACGCTAAGACTACCTAAAGGTCTTTATTAATATTAGAGGGAACTCTTTTCTCTACCTCTTAGACTTAGGCGCTAAGCTAAACACTATTAAGAGAGAAGTAGCTAAGAGAGCTATATTACTAGTTATATTACTACTAGGTAGTATAAAGGCTACTTAGATAGTTACTACAAATAGAAGTATAGTAAGCTTTATAGGTATTATCTAGAGTATCTCTATTATTATAGAGTAGATTAAAGTCTAAATAAACTTCTTTATTGTAGAATTCTGCACTAATCTAATTATTCTAGGTAACTCTTTTCTAACAAATACTTAGGCGCGTATTAAGTATATAACTAATAGATTAATATACTATTATATCTTTAGCGTAGATAGCTAAGCTAATATAAGATTTATATATACTAGAAGTAATAAGCTTATAGCTTCTAGTCTTTATACTAGACCTACGTTAGAAAAAGATATAGAAGTGTAGTAGCTAGCGCTATACTCTAGCACGTAACTAAAGAGCTAGTAGGCAGCGTAGCGTGCGCGTATATAAAGATAGTAGATATAATAATAGAGGAGGTTAGAGATAGTAGACTAAATAGTAGTTAGATACCTATATAATCTATTAGTAAATAGATTTTATAGAAGAAGCGCAGAGCCTCTAGAAAAGATCTAATAGTATACTTATTAAGATTAAATAGCAAGTTAATAGGTCTTAGGCCTAATAGAAGCCTACTAATAAGAGATAATAAAGGCCTATGTATTTTTAAGATAGAAGACGTTAAAGAGCTATTAGCCTAACTTCTAAGTAATATTACAGAGAGTATTAGTAATAAAGATACTATAAAATAGAGTAAGGCGTTCTTCTAAGCAAAGAACCTAGCTAAGATAGATAAAGGCCTTGCACTAAAGATTAATATAGTTATAGTGTTACGCGAACCTACGCGCCTGCCTACTAAGTATATAGTAAGTTAGCTAAATAATACTTAGATTAATAGAGCTTATAAGCGCAAAGGCGTTAAGATTAAACCTATTAATAACTCTAGCTAACTAACGCGACCTATTAAGGAGTAGTTAGACTAGAAGAAAAAGGTAGTAGCAAAGCAAGTACCTAATGCTAATAGCTAATTAGCTCTATTTACTAAGTATTTTAAGCTATAATACGCTGTATTTCTCTAAGGCACTTAAATAATACCTAAACGCATTTTAGAGATAAAAATCTTATTAGAGTTATTACTAGTAGAGAAAGATATACTCTTAGAAGTTCTCTACTAACAAGAAGTAGCACTAGCCTAGAACTTTAGAGAATCTAGAAGAGTTAGCAAAGACGTTATCTCTCTAGTTATTATTAATATAGTACTATATTAAGCCTAGAGAGCTAACTAGTTCTCTATTCTAAGAAAGCTTTAGTAGGTTGTAATTAACATAATTTAGAACTATATTAATAGAGGTACCTTAGAGTTATGTAAGAGCTAGTATTGCAATCTATAGTTCTTAGTTACTAAGAAAGATAAGAGGTATTGCCTAATTAACAACGCTTAAAAACTTAACAAAGTTATAATTTACAACGCTAACCTACTATCTAATTCTAATAAGTTTTTAGAGAAATTTATAGAATGCGTTATTATAAGTCTATTAGACTTCTTCTTAGAGTATAACTAAGTAGAACTATACAAGAACTTAAGAGATATAATAGCCTTTTTAACACTATTAGAACTTGTATAATAGTGCACACTTCTAATAGGTATAATAAACTCTCTAGTAGAGTTTATACGTGTTATAATAAAGATCTATAAGAACTATATCTCTAATAGGTGTATACTATACCTTAATAACGTATATATTAAGAGGCTAAAGAAGCGCTATAGTAACTATAAGGTAGAACTAGATATAAGGTAGTTTATTACTAAATACCTTTTAAATATTAATAAAGTACTTACAGACATTAAGCGCGTAGGCGCAATAATATTAGACTATAAGTCTAACTTCTACTACCTTTCTATAATTGTTATTAGCTATTAAATTAATAAATATAGCTACTACTCTAATAAGAAGAAGGTTAATAAGATTACGTATTAGCTAGATTGTTATAACGCTAAGAAAGTCTAAATATTTCTTAGAATCTGCGTTTACTATAGAGTATAGGTACTAGGTTTTGCTATTATTATAGTCTCTTTGTTTAAGCTTCTCTACAAGAATACACTATTTAAATAGAGTTTAGAGTAGAAGTAGGTAATAGAATATCTTAAAGCAGCTCTAATAACTACTCTAGCGCTAGTTTCTATTAATTATACTAAGCCTATCTAAAAGATTATTCTTGTAGTTAATAGTAGTAAGAAGAGTTAAGGTGTAGTTATTATGCAGCTTAACCTAAACAGCTATTATTACTCTATACGCTTTAAGAGTAGAGTTTAGTCTACTACTAAGAGAAATTAGAATTTAAGCAAGTACAAATATAAGGCTCTTCTACTTTCTCTAAAGAAGTTTTAGTTCTATATCTATAGAGTAAACTTCTAAGTTAAAATAAACGTAAAGACGCTTATTACGCAACTCTAATAAAGTGTAACAAATCTCTCTAGAGCTCTAATTACTTAGTAGCTTATACTTCTTAATATATAGAAGTTTAATATTGTCTATATAGCTAGTAAGAAGAACGTTATAGCTAATACTCTTTTAAGAATGCCTAAGCTAGATAGCTAGAAGCTGCCTAATAATTCTAAGAAAGATATAGAAGACTTTATTAACGCGCACCTAAATATAGTTTAGCTTATCTTTAGTAAAGCTCTAGCGCACGCGTATAGAATATACTAGATAGATCTTTCTTTTAATAATTAACTACTAGTAGATAGCTATAGTAATAAGTTATAAGTAATTATAAGCTAGCTTCTGTTCTATAGAAAGCCTAAGTATATATCTACTACTAAGTTTTATAAGTTTAAGAAGAAGGCGCTCTAAATAACTATTAGAGAATAATATCTCTTTATAATTCTCTTAGAAGGCTAGCCTCTACAAAGAGTAGTTAACTTAATAGATAAGTAGTATAAGATTATTAGATCTCTCTATAATAAGTCTAGCTACTAAGACAAGAAAGGTATCTAGCGCAAGGTATAGGCGCGCTACTATTAGAAAGAATAGTATAATTAAGTTAAACGCTATATATAGTTCTACTCTAAGTACTAATTATATATATTAGTAATAGTTTAAGAAGAGCTTTAGTCTATAGAGCTACTAATAGTACTATTTATATAGATTACTATTAACGTTGTTTATATACTACCTAGTTATAATAGTAAGAAGTTTCTTATTGTTGCCTAAGACTACTTTTCGTAATAGGTAGAAGCT